CAACAAAAAAAAAAAAAAAAAAATCACTTAAAGCAATTTCAAAATATCAAACTTTAAAATAAAATTAAGTTAAAAGAATTTTACAAAATTAGAACCAAGCATAGTTGTGACATATTTGGGGGAGAGAAGAGAAAAATCTGGCAAAATGTTTCAAGGAGAAAAATTTGTATTTTCTGAGTTGTAACAGTTTAGAACATTATGTAAAAGCAAGCAAACAAACAAACATAAATTATTTAAAACCAAACCAAAAGCACATCCATATCTGTGGGAGGACTAGATCCTAACTTTCCTCCAACTCTGCAGAGTTAGAATCTGACCGCGTTTCAGCAAGAAGTTCGATGAAAGAGTGAAAGTCCTTGGCACCGACAGAGAATGAGCTGAACACACTCCTCCTGCCAGGGAGAAGACCGTGTACAAAGACACAGAACCAGCAGGGACTCCAGGCCTAGAAATACAGACTTATTACTCAAGTCCTCTGCTTTCAAGCCAATGAAGACTTTAACCACCAGAGAGTACTATAAAGAATATGTCTATTTGGAAGTGTTCAGGTGATCTTAACCTGGTGACCATACCCAAACAAAAACCCCGTTCATTCAAAAGTTCAAGGAACAAAAGATGTAAAAAGGTGAATGTTTACTTAAGTTTGGCAAAGTGACTGGTTTTATCATCTTGCAACAGTCACCATGGTAAAGACACAAACAAAAATCATGACGTAACAAAAGACTTCAGAATAAACTGCAAAATTAAACACAAAGCCTGCACTAAAAACTTAGGATAGAAAGAAATTAATACCGCGACCATATCTGAAAATCTAGCTATTATAAGTTAATGTTACATTCAGTACAATTTTAAAAGAGTATTTTTTTAAAAGTTACTTTCTCTTTTTCTAAGGAGATTCTATATTTTTGCCATTAGAAATTGCAAATTAAATATTTTCAGAAATAATTTAGTATGTTTTAGAGGACATGTACCTCTAATACTTTTGTTCTAGAAAAATTTAAGACATTAATATATATATATACATAAAATTAAAGTGAGATTTCTGATTTGTTATAAGCAGAAGTCAAAATTCTTCTTGACCATATTCCTAAACAGATGCATAAAATTTTGCCAAACCCATTTTCCTTGGAATACTCCCAGAAAATAGAATTCTTTATGTGACAGCTTGCCTGATCTTCTACCCTAGGTGAAATATCTAATCACTTCTTCGTGCACACATGGAAAGCATTTTTCTCTTAATTAATTTAGATGTACAAGAGCTGATTACTTTTCTGATGTTTCCTCATAATACTGAGGCAAAATGGATAAGGGAGACCCCAGATGATGTTTTGTAATCACCCAAAAGTGGGCTTCTTTTTCTCTTCATGTCTCATGGGCACTGGGCCTGCTCCCATTTTTACAGGACACTCACATAGTGATAGAAAACTCGAACACAGTAAAGCATGAGTGTCCAGGATATGCCGAGTTAGCTGACAGTACCAACCCACGGGAAAACAAGCAAGCCCACAGCAGGGGATGCTGCGGCCCGGAATGGTCAGGGCCGGCCTGCAGGGCCTGTTCCGTGAGACTCCACCACGCACCCTGGAGCAGCGCGACTCCTCAGTCATATTCAGAGGCCGGAGACAGGGCTGTCCACCCACGAGACACACACGGCAATATCCTATCCTGCCCAGGCACCAGCAATGCCAACGCCAAAGGTCTACAGGAAAATGAAAACAATCTAATGACTTCAGCAACACTTATAATGTACCCTGTCCTTTCTAAATCAAAAAGGAGCAAAACTACCCTGCCCTAGCGCAGCTCCTCACTGGTAGGTCAGGATGCCAAGTATGACCAGAATTACAAATTAATATCTATCCGTACATAATTGATACAAATGAAAGATCTCTCTTAAGCATTTGTGCTAAAATATTATCAAGAATGTTAACAATTAATTTACTTTTCTGTTTTACTTACTTGGTAGAGACCTGTCTGAAGCCAAGGTAATTTCTGTCTTCTTATTTTGGACAATTATTGTGTGGTGGGTTGATTCTTACCAACTGAAATAAACAGAGGCCCAAGAAAAACCCCAGCTGCACACAACTGGGTGTTCCCCGTGTATCTAAGCCCCTGAGACAGTGACTTCTCTGGTTCCTTGTTTGATTTATGTCTTAAAGTGAAGAGAATATTACTTAAAGTGTGTTTAAATGATGGAGCTGGAAATGCCAGGAGGTCCATAAGAGGTATCAGTTTTTCCCTCCTAGGGATCTGCTTTTTGTTTAAGGATCCTTAGACTATAACCTAACCTTGAAAACCAATGTTTCTTTTGGTTTTTAAAAGATTTATAAGCAGAAATTTATCCCTAAGATAGACAGGGTTTACATAGAGGAGGCGGGGTTAAGACTTCTCAGTGGAGCTGGTAACCATCACCTGTGTGTCCTGCCGGAGAACTCCGATGAAGCTAGTCCACTACCGATGGGACCACTGGGGAAAGGAATAAAGCAAACCCTCACGTCTACACACCGGTCTCTGCTCGGCTACGACAACAGCAACCCAGCCCTGGGGCCGTCCCAGCTTCAGCCTGCTCCCTTCAGGAGGGCACCTCACAGAGCACACTTGTGGGTGAGGCACAAAGGAACCAAAGCCTGCTAACACGGCAAAACTGACCAGGCGAGGACAGGCGCACTGCCGGAGCTGTGTTTCTGTCAGCGAGAGGGAGGGACGGACAGGGCCGCGTCTCCCAGCACCGGCCAGGAGGAGCAAGCCCTCCGCCACCCTTCCGGGTCCACTCTCAACTGGGAACAGCGGCCCGCGAGCTCTTGGGCTCCTGAGGAGAGTCCTTCCTCCTGTCTGCATCCCCAGGCCCACCACAGGGCGGCGGGTCAGCCGCAAACCCAGCCCGGGGACTGCAGAGAGGAATCTTCAAGGGCAGCTCAGCTTCCGGACCCCGGCCAACGCCCTGGTCCGGAACCACAGAGGACACCTCGGCTCACGGCGGGCAGCACCCTTCTCAGGGCTGGGGAAGGGGAGGGTGTCCCTCGGTCAGGAGCGCAGAGGCCCAGTGGAAGCAGACGGGCAGGGGGTGAGATGGTGGCAGGGGGCCCAGAGACTCACACAGTCCAGACAAAGGTCACGGCCCGCCAGGCTCAGAGTTTTCCTCAGAACCTCACAGCTGCTACTTGGAGCCGCCCGGTGAGGCTGAGCAGACAGGGCGAGGGCAGCCCCTTCCCTCCCAGGTGCACCATGCAGCCCTGCTCCATCCACAGGACACAACAGAGCTCCACAGACCCTGGACGTGCAAATGCCAGCTCCACGAGAGGAAGGAACCAGCCCAGGTTCACCCTCTCTACTCGTGTGACGACGACAGCCGGAAAGCCTTTGTTAGGATTTGTGTCCAGTTTGTAAAAGGTAATAGGAAGAAGTGAGGAAGTTCCAAGAGGCAAAGATGAACAAAAAGAGACGGGCGCGGGGAGATAAAGAGGAGACAAAAGAAAGAAAGAGAGAGAAAACTCTGCCTGGAAGAGTCGAGTTATTTAGAGCATGAAAAAAAGGAAAGGCAAAGACAGGAATGAGTAAGTTTCAGCAAAAAATGAAGAGCTAGGAGACTCCGTGAGGTAAAAGAAAAGCAGGGGTAGGGTGACTGCACTCCGACTGCAATGAAGTTACTCTCTGCAACTGTTACCCTTAAAGATGTCCAAAATTTAGACAAGGATTTCGTCTCTTATGCTTTGAGAAGATGAATACTCTGCAGGAAAGTGAGAGCACAGAGTCCGTTCTTCTATATCCAGAGAGTGAAGTGTTAATGGGAAAGCAATTCTATTTCTGATTACTAATGCAAGTGCTGCAATCGCCCTGTTTTGATCTGGTATCATAGAGAGTTTGCTACGGTAAGGAAACCTAGAAAATCAAATTGGGTGTGTTTCGCTTATTAGGCTCACAGTCCCTTGCTACTGTGACATGACTCACAACATTTAAGAACAGTAATGGAGTCTGTTCTTCCCTGCGTGAGCAGGACCACAGCACTGAAGTAAGAAGGATGTGGAGGACCGCATGCA